CTGGTGCTGCACTCGATCCCAGGAGGTTTGATATTGCTAGACAAAAAGTTGATATGTCGGCAACGTTATTGCAGAATCTCGGATCCGTCCGGGATGCAGGTGAGATTTTTATGGTTTTTTTATGAGTCATGTTTACTTTATTTCTAAGCGAGACCCATGAAAGTCGAATCTAGTGCGCTTTAAAGCTGTTTTCCCCCTTTTCAACCAAAATTAACGGTTTTTTTTTAGTGCTAGGATAAACTGTTAATCGGATTGACCCGAAAAAATATCAGTTTTCGCATTTTAATATTTTATTATTATTTAATTACACGGAAAAAGACTCGATTGTGCAATAATTTCCGTTTGATTCCTTCAAACTTTTAAAGAATTCATAAAACTCAAAAGATTTTTACTAAAATGAGATAAATGAACACCCTCGAGGAAGAATGACCGGAAGACTGTGCTGGAAAACAAATTTTCAATCTCAATAAAAATAGAAAATTCTGTTATTTTATTTTAAGTTTTTTTATCATGAATACCTCGACTAATAAATATTCCAGAATTTCTAAAACTATTATTATATCGTGAAGCATTGACCAATCAGAATAATGAGAATATCAGACATAAAAGTTTATTATAGTGTAGCTTTATAAAAGTGATATTTGAGCATTAGAAAAGGAAGTCCTGGGGGTAATTAACTTGTCGAATACTTTCCGAATAATTTTTAATTACAAAATAGTGCACAGCATCTGTTTCTGCAGATTTCATTCTGGATAGAATATAATATCTGAAAGTTTCGAAAACTTTCGTCATGATATTCAATAGAGGGCAGAATTTTTGACCCACAGCAGGTTTACACTCGCCCCTCATGATGAGTGTTTCGCAATTTAACTTTTTCTCGTCCACGGTGTAGAAAAAACGAGGAAAAATTATTCGCTGGCTTCAGAGGCGGAGCGAAACTTTCAGCTTAGAAATACTTCTTCCCCGTACACAAAGCAATAACTGTGGAGGACGAAAGTTATAAAAATATAAAAAGAAGCATAATACTGCATTTTAAAAACCATAAAAATGTGTGCGTTTCATGAAATGTAATTAATTTACGAATAACGTTCAAAAGAAACTATTTACTGTCTTAAAATCGTATGCAGCTAATTCAATTGAATATATCTCTAATTATGTACATAAATATGATTCGATTCCACCGGTGAAATAATTTTTTCAAATTTAATTTTAAAGTAGAATAGAACACCTTATTTTATTGCTAATAATTTACAGTTTGACATCGACGCGAGTCATAAATAGCTTCCATATCCCTTTCATAAATATTTGATTTAGTGCCAACAAGGATGACAATAGTACTAATTGATAATTAGTAAACTGACAGTTAGTATCCGACGTAAAATATGACACAATGATTGCCGATTTCATGTGACTTCAAATTGATTTTAAGTGATTTCCGATAATTTCGAATGATTTCAAACCTGATTTCACTTGATTTAAATTCAAAATGACAGAGATTTCATCAATCATCACCTTTTTGTGGCGCGTAATTTTTTAGACTAGCAATTTAAATTGATAGTCGATTATTTTTCGTTCTCCCTCAAAAAC